GGATGACATACCACTTACCACGCCAGAAGTCAGCCAGCAGTGCTGGCTTGATACCAGATCTAGGCCAGACCAGCTTGCTATGTGGGTAGGGGTTACATCTTCCTCAATAACCCTGTGCTTATATGGGGTCCCCCAGGGGTCCATTCTTGGCCCAGTCCTTTTTCATACTCATACAGGAAACAGAGGTCATTGTGTTTTAACCTTTACAACAGTGTCCCTATAAGGAATTATAAAAACCATTTGCGAGGAACCTGGAATTGATTTTTAACAATAATCTAACTTGTGACAAATAGATTAACACAGTCATTAAAACTAGATTCTTCCATCTATGATACTAGCAAAAGTGAAGCAATTTCTCTGATTCGGAGACATTAAGAGAGCGATCCAGCTTCACTATTATAATAATCATTATTCAGGTGTCAATTTGTCAGCGCTTAGCCGACTGCAGTTAGTCCAAAACGCTGCAGCACGGTTATAAACTGCCACAAGCAAGCAAGACTACATATCTCCCATATTCAAGCCCCAACTGGTCATGGCAGACGGCTGCTGCTCTCTAAGCTCAGTTCTGCTGGACGTTTCTTCCTGTTAAAAGGGGAGTTTTTCCTTCCCACTGTTGCCAAGTGCTTGCTCACAGGGTGTTCTCTGATTGTTTGGGGGGGGGGGTTGTATTATTGTAGGGTGTTTCTATTTGTTTCCTATGCAAATAAAAATTAATTGAACTAAAATGAATTAAATATTTGCATTTCAAGTTCTTTTAACTGTGTTGTGTTTACTCGGGTTTAGTCACTTTATATTTCCTTTCTTAAACTCTGACATTTTAACAGCATTTGGCCACACTTGTGCTTTAAGCTTAATTGTAACATCATCATGGAAAGGCGCTCACAATGACCATGCTAATGCAGATGTAATGTTTGTTAAGCGCTCCACCTTAAACGTTTGTGTTACTATACACACACCATACAAACAGAGAATGGGAATGCATACATCCATTGCAAAATGTTGAATACTAATGTTAAAAAGAATAATTTGGAAGATGCCAGTGCAGCTACCCATATTTTTTCATTTTGTTTTTATTGTTATTAATTCCTTTTTGTTCAGTCAGAACTACAAATATGAATGTTGTGAGATTTGAAACAAAATCACTATATACACTAGAGTTCATATTTTGGAGCTAATGAATGTCACAAAACGCTAGTTAATGGTTTAGATACTTTAGTCAGTCTGAAATAAAATTTCATCTGTAACCCAGCACAGCTGTCGACATTCTCTTCAAGAAGAGCTGAAGGCATTAGCGAGCGCTATCATCATTACTACCTCATGATATTATGGACCACTGCATTAAGAGATCCTCATTAGGCCCTTGATAGCTGCAGCCATATTGCATCCTGTAAAATAAAATGTACATACACTAAAAGTTGATGTCTAAAGAGTGTGATGGAAATGTTCCTTACTGTAGTATGACTTGTAAACTAGCACTTCTTTAAAATTGATCAGTTAAAAGCTCATTAACAACTGATATGCATTCACAGCAAAGGCTGAGGTATACGATTAAGTAAGATAGATGATGGTTGGGTAGAAGAACCTTTACAGTCTGGGTAATTTCATTTCTCTAACTTTCAGTATCCTGGTCAGATCTCCCAATGCCCCTTACAAATGGATGCATGAATTAGACCTTTTTTGACAAAGTACTCATTTTTAGTTGGTGAATTTAAGTAGATGAATTGCTACTTTAACTCTTGAAATCATAAAGAGAGATGGCATGGTGTAAGTCTATCACAAGTGTAAAGTTATTTTTTTTAATGTTGTCAGAAACACACAAAACAGTCTCTATGTGATAACATATCTAATTTGTCTTGATCTCACAATAAATGTGTTAAATGTGCTGTCATTATTACCATCTGGTCTCATTCTTCCCAATAAATCTTACGCTGTTGAAAAGTCTGATTATTTCCACTTAAATAGTGCCATGTTTGTGAGGACAATTTGTGGGTTGAGCAGCAGAGTTGAGTATGTGAGT